GAGAGAGAGAGAGAGAGAGAGAGAGAGAGAGAGAGAGAGAGAGAGAGAGAGGAGTGGAACAAAGAGGCGTGGGAGAAACTGGATTGTGGAGTCGATGAGCAAGGTGAAGGTTGGTGAGTGAGAACTCTGCACAGAAAGCACAGCTAATGTTCCGGTGGGTGAGTGGGAGGGGAGACCGAGCAGAAAATTCTCCTTAGGAAGAGAGTGAGAAACCCATATCGTATTGTGTGTTGCCCTAGTAGGAGCCGAACAATTTAGGCAGAGGCTGTTATGGTGTGTCCGTCAGTTTGGTCTGTCATTGCTCGCTTATGGAAAACTGCAATGGTTCAGGAAGTGGGTTTGGGAAAGGCATGTGCAGTTTTTCGATCGACCATGTCCATTCCTAGTGACCTGAAAAAGGACGGCATGCGGCATGTACGACGGCCAGTTAGTGACATGACAGCCGCTGCAGACAAAACCATCCTACGTACATTGGGATGGAGCGGGATGCTAGAGGCGCTTCTTTGGATGCCGCCGCAATACTAAAGGTAAGGTGACAGGTAGGCTCATTAGATAACACGCGTCTGAACAAGGAGAGAGTTTATCCTACCTGAGGTTAGCTTCTGAACAAGGTGAGAGCTTATCTTACCTGAGGTTAGCGTCTGAACAAGGAGAGAGTTAATCGTGGCTGGAGTAAGAAAAGGATGATGGTGGCATCAACGAACTCGGGTTTGCTTATAACTCGGGGGGTTGTTTGTGAAGTAATCAGCCTTTCCATGGTGTGCAACATGAATCCATCCAGGCACAAGTGATCCTTCCCTTCTTTCACTGAAGGTTGGACTCTAGTGTCTGTTGTGCTTATTGGCAATGGTAAAGGCCATTTGAAGGCTCTGGAAGAGTGGAAGAGTCTGTACTTAAACCCGTGCAGACTCTGGAAGAGGGGAAGAGTGTGTTTTGCACACTGTATACGACGAAGAATTTAAAAGCTGGGCCACAGCAGTGATGGGGTGGCATGGCCTTGCGCAAGTTTTGAATGCGCATTTGGCTGTGGAATGCTGGAGAGCATGGAACAAAGAAATGTGCGACCTTGGCATATATATCTAGTAGGTCTCGTGGACTGAAAGGAAGGGTCGAAGGGGGGCTTTTTTGTGGAGAGAATGTGCAAGATGTCCTTGTTGTGGATGATATGATAGTGGTGTAGCTAAACGGAAGACCAAGAAGAGGAGAACTCGAAAGTGGAAATGCTGTGCAATACACATGAGGGAATGGAGACTTGTTCCGAATAGCGGTTTTCAGAGTACAGCAGGGATGAGCTTCTGTGTTTTAGTGTCAGCTATATGGCGACTCGGAGAAGGAAATTAGGCGTATTAGTTTCGTCTAGGATGTAAGGTTTTTCTTCCTAGCACAGCCCCGGAGAGAGAGAGAGAGAGAGAGAGAGAGAGAGAGAGAGAGAGAGAGACAGAGCTGCCGCCATAGGATTGGAATTGGTGTTGATCCCATAAGAATGTGTAGGTATGGGAGTTGGTCTATGAGGGAAGCTAAACTATCAGTTGCCCTAGTCAGGCTATCCAGAACGAGCATTTTCTACTGTGTTTTACCTTAGCAAGATATTTGGGAGTGTGTCCAGCTGCGGTCTCCTCTCTCATGTCTGCTTCTTTTCTGCCGATTCTGCGAATTGTCTGAAGCAGGAAGGTCTCTTTCTCAGTGGTTGACATCTGTGGGGTTTAGTCTTTGATTCATTGATTATAAATGAATGATGGTTGACGCTCTTTAGACCGTTCCGGCCCTTTGTCCATTCTCCCTTCTCCCTTCTCCATCCAGCAGAGAGGGAACATAAACCTCCCTTATGGCCTGCCGTCTCCGTGGCCATGGTATCGGTTGCAGTTCTGCTGAAAATGACTCTAAAAAATCCCTCTTAGAACTCTACTTCTTTCCTGCTGACTGAGTTCTCTCTGTTACTGGGTGATTGCACTTCACAGCCTTTGGGCTGGTCTAACCTCTGCCCTTGTCTATCATCAGTACAATAGCCACTAGCCTTACTTCTCTCCATTTGGGGAATATGTATTTTTTTATCCCTCTGCGGTGGGCTTCTTAGAGGCTATATGTCATTGAATATGGCGTCGATCCTGGTGCACACGTGTGGTTGCTCTGACACGGATCTATCTGTTTGTTGGTTTAGAGGCTGGAATTGTTATCTTGGTAGTTGACGGGTTATGGGTCCGAATCTCAACGAGGAGGCGGAAGAAGATGATGGTAGGCCAGGGCATGCAAGCTTGAAAGGTGAAAAAAGACTTACGGAGGCATATTGATCTTATTACGCAGAGACATTGTGTGCGAGTTGCAGTGCCTTTTTTGTCTGACACAAGCAAGATTGTTCTGCCGATTTGCTGCTCGACGACAACCGTTATGCGTTATCGAGTTTTACGTATGCAGGTTGTCGTTGTATCGGGGAATTAGACATTTGGAGGGCGAGTCTTTGCGATGAAACTTTGACGATTGCTGGGAAAGGAAGAGGCTGTCAAATCCAAGTTCCGGAATTTGAGGGGAAGGGAGGGGAGGGGAGGGGAGGGGAGGGGAGGGGTGGGGTGGTGCAATCAAGAAAAAGTGCGCGGATGGAGGGAGGTGTAGGGTATTAAAGTGTAACGAATAAATTTTGGAATGGCAGGATAGGGATGTGGGGACGATGATCGTGTACTACTCTGGCTGGCGGGAACTCCAGAGAAAAAAAAATAAGGGTAGAGGTCTGCAGGTGGTGAAAGTCCTTTGGAAGTCCTTTGGATGGAAATCGATGCTACTTGTTTGTATTTTGGGTGTGTTTCCCTTTGCAGTTGCTCAAAAGGATTAACAATTAACAGCAATTCTGCTGCCTTTATGGGTAGCAGCATGACCAGGTTAGTATCCTGGGAAAACCGAGAGGGAAGACCGAGAGGAAAGAATGCCGATCTTGTACTCTTGTTGGCACATACTACAGACAGCAGAGGTCTGTAGGAGGTGAAGTCCTTCGGGGGATGGAAATTGATAATGCTTGTTTTTTTCTTTGGGTGCACTTCGCCTGCAATTATTTGAAGAATAGTATTTGAAAAATAGTGGATGGCCGTGCGGGGCCTTGTAGGGGTTTGCAGAATGACCCTTCGTCCCAGTGCATTGCGATGGCTGTGAACTATTTGCTCTCTCTTTTGCCTTTCACTTCCAAGCTATTCCAAACTAACCCCCACTTACAAAAAAAAAAAAAAAAAAAAAAAAAACGCTCCGGACTTCAGTGGTTGGTTGACCGTGCTCATTTTTCTTTTTCGACAAGAAGCAATTGGATTCTTCAGGTTTCGTCGTCTCTTTCAAGTCGTTCCGCTCTCTGCAAGGTCATGTACTTGCACTGAAGTGCCTGGGCGTTTCGTCTCATGTGCGGGGTCTAGTGTGGTGAATGAGAGAATGCTCACACGTTGATTCTATTGATTGTATGTGGCCAGAGTGACGAGTAGGTCACGATGTCCATAGCCAAGGTGTCCTGAGTGCCATCGCTTTGTCTGTATCAGGAGACAATGGCAACCAGTGTCTCATGGACAGAGAATCTCAGAGGGCGTATGCTGCTCCCACGGGGACTCTGGTGAGTCTCTCTGGCCAGAATGACGAGGTCCGGAATAGGACTCTGGCGAGTATCTCTGGCCAGAATGACGAGGTCCGGGGTAGCATTGTCTGTATTGCCTGTCTGTCTGATGCCGGAGCAGCTTGTCGTAGAAGTCAGTTACTCTCCTCGTGGCATCCGTCACATGCCTATGCGGGAAAGGATCAAGCAGGGTTTTGCGAGATTACAATGTGTCTACGCATATGGACCCGGGGTTTCTTCTTATCAGCTCCTCCACGTGGGTATAAAGTCTCCTTTCAAAAATCGGAGTAAACTGTAATCAAGGTGTTTTTGTGCTGCTCCAGCGTAGGGTAGCGCGCCGTTGTCCAAAGAACGCCATTGTCTTGTGATGTGGATGTCAGGGCCAGGGGGAGACGGAGGTGCGAGAGTGCAACGTGATACACAGTACGCGGCTTGTTGGGGTATGCGGTTGTGGAAGAGCTTAGGAGTGGCATGGAACATGGTACATGCAGTAACCTTTTTTTTTTTTTTTTTTTTTTTTTTTTTTTTTTTTTTTTGGGGGGGGGAAGGGAGCTAACCTCCTGTTTGAAATGGCGCTTGCAGTATAACGATGCAATGTGGGACATGATTGATTGACATGTGTGATTGTGGCAGCTCATGAGTATAAAAATGGTACTGAATACTTGAACAAACCTTTGAAAAGAATGCTTTCGGGCTCACTTACTTTGCACTTTTAATTGATTCAATGCCCAGCAAAACTATCGGCTTACTGGGATGGCATGGGTGCGCAGCCCGTAGCTTCTGTTGATGTGGTTGGGGAAGGGTGAGGTAGTGATTGTGGTGTGTGTATGTTTTGCCATGTTCGCTATACACAACTCAAGAGAGAGAGAGAGTGTTGCATATCAGAAAGTGAAATGCACTAACAGCCTAGGATCTAGCAATGATGAAAGTGGCAACAACCAGCAGCATAGATGCAACATTCACCAGATGTCAATGTGCACCATGCAACAAGTAAACCAACGAGAAAAACAACAACAACACATTTGCATCATCATCATCATGGGCTGGGGAACAGCGCAGCGGAATAATAGTAACCAAGAGGACACGTGGACAACAACAGGAAAGGGAGAAACTTCGGAAGGGCAGGACATTAGAGAGATTGCCCTTCCGCTCACACACATAGGGAGAGATCCATAGACATGCGAGAGAGAAGGGGGGGGGGAGGGACATAGGAGGTAACCAAGTCCAACCCAAGTCTGATCTCCGAATGTCGTGCACAGTTCAATCCCAATGTAGCGTGTAAGTCCGGTCTGAATGTCGTGTCCAATAAGGCAGAATGCCGTGCCCAAACAATGTCTGCAGTCACCTCTATCTCTACTCTGATCAAGACGAAGAAGAAGAAGAAGAAGTGGAGGAAAGAACTGTGGAGGAGGAGGAGGAGAAGAGGAGAACAAGAAGAAGAAGAAGAAGAAGAAGAAGAGGTAGAAAGCTGGGCGCTTTCTGCACTTACCTGGCGATGGCTGAACTGCAGATACCGCGGAGCCAGCTATGGCGCTGGCCCAGGTGAGCTCTCTCTCTCTCTCTCTCTCTCTCTCTCTCTCTCTCTCTCTCTCTCTCTCTCTCTCTCTCTCTGGCGCTGGACTTCTCCAGCGCTGGACCTTCCTTGCTGATGAGCAGCGAAGCTGCCGTCCGAATAGCGCAGCAGGGAGGCTGAAATAGCGCAGCAGGGAGTCTCCAAAATAGCGCAGCAGCCAAGTCTTGAACCAGCGTAACGCTGGATTTCTCCTGGTACCTCTCTCCTGAACTGGGCGCTGGCCCAGCTTAAGTAGTGCTGGGCCGGACCCAGTAGTCCACGGCCTGCAATCTGGGCCGTGTAGATCAAAGCCTGATCCGCGGTCCAGATCGCAGGCTTCAGTCCTTGGCCAAAAAAACGGCCTACCTGGGTCCCTACCGGACGTCCAGGCCCTGCCTAGGTCTGGCCGATTTGGTACCTGGCTCGATTCAGGGCCTGTGCGAATGCATCAGGCCTGAACATCTGTCCAGGTCCAAAGTCTGTCCGAAAACGAGTAAAGGTCCAAACGTCTGGCCAAAAAYGAGTAAAGGTCCAAACGTCTGGCCAAAAACGAGTAAAGGTCCAAACGTTTTTCTGAAAACGAGTAACGGTCCAAACTGAATTAGAGGCTCAGCCTCTGGGCCTGATTCCGGCCCTGGTCCTAACTGTGTACCTGGCCACCTAACGGACAACAGCACATTAGTAAAAACACATCAGTAAATAAATAAATAAGAAATCAACTTAAAGTTGAAGTCTTTCCGATGCAGGCCTAAGTGAAATGGCCGTAGGGCCTCCAGGTTGCGGTGACGCGACCTGGGGGCCCTTATCCAACCTCGGGTCCCGTGAGGGGCCCGTGTGGAGGCTCTCAGCATGTAACAGAGAGAGAGAGAGAGAGAGAGAGAGAGAGAGCGCTAAAGCACGCAGCGTGTCAGTGACCGGGAGCAAAGGGGCAGGTGCAAACATATGAAAACAAAATGTAATGTTCTAGTCGAATGCAAGAATCTTTTCTATTCGGGATTTGAATAGAAAACAAATGCTTTTGTACTCTAATACAATGCATATGTGTTCTATTCGAAGTGTCCTCCTATTCGAGAAAAGTGGATTAACTTTTGAAGTTCCCCGCCTTGGGGGGCTGCATGCCCTTTTTTTTTTGTATTTTTTTATGGACGAGTGCCAACGCTAGTCCTGCGCCTGAAAGGACTGCCTGGCAGTGCCTGCCCCATAGAAGCCCCTGCCTTCAACTTTTAACACCCTTCCAACGACAAATTTGGCCCAAAGTGGGCGACAGGGATATGATAAATGACGAAAAAGCCTCTCGGGTATGATGTCCTGTAAACGCAACCGTACGGGCTGTGAACGATCAATAATTTTCCTTTCTTGCTTCATCTATGCGCCCGTTAACGCGCGGCCGTTAACCCGCTGCGAATTTTGCAGGGCAGCCTTCCGGAGGAAAATGGCTGGCAGCACCAACCAAAAGGCAGAGGTTTGCGCCGTTCTTTTTGGTTTTTGGAGGGCAGGGCGATTCCAGGCTGGACAAAGAGATTCGCCAACTGTACAAGTGGTTAAAAAAAGTTCAAAAAAATTATTTCTCGAAGCTGTTGTTTTCACGGATGTCGATTTTTGGTGCACATCATATTTTACTAAATCAGCTCTCCGAGTCTGGCACGAAATCATATTGTCGTGTAACTGCAAAAAACTTTTCGGTTGGCCGATCTGTGGACGACGCGTAGTGTTGTGGCGGAATTAAATTCATTCTATCTATTCGAGGAGTTTCCCGCAAAATGATTGGGAAACATACTGGTGGCGTGGTGGTGTAAGCTGTTGTTACGATGTTATGGAAAGAAAGTAGATGGATGTATCGGCATGCAATTTTTGAATGACATCGTGGTTGAAAGGAAGGTAGACAGTATAATTGTAGGAAAGAGGGAATGAGATGGGATGGGAAATATGTTGTGATATAGTATTACCTTATATGGTTAGGGAAAAAAAAAAAAAACAAAAAAAAAACCCTTATATGGTTAGAGCCTAGGCTACCAGAGTGGCCCGGGGTCACTTGCCCGGCCGGGCCAAAAACAATTTAAAAATAAAAATAAAAATAAAAAAATGAAAAATTTATTTTTTATTCTAAATTTGGTGCAGAATTTCAATGTGACCCTGAGGCAAAAAACTGTTCAGTTTATTTTTCTGCATAACATGTTTTTTTTCGGATTTTTTTTTTCTTTTTTTTTTGGCTGGGACCTTCCCTGGTCCTTGCACGGGCTGGCCACCCGGGACCCGGGCGGCCCGGCTGGTAGCCTAACTTAGAGCCTCGAGGATAGGAACATACTAGGTATTGTAAACAGAACAGAGTAATAAGACAGGTAGGATAACATGAAATGAGATAGCCAAAATGAGATACATCAGCTATAGGTACAACGACATAGATGAAAAATCCGAGGTAAACGCTGCGCTAAATGGTCACATGAGATAGGCAAAGGAAAAATACGATTAGATAATAAAGAAGCGACAGAAGGATATTATAGATAAGATACCAAACAAGACAGAAGCGTAGATCAGATGATATAAAAAAAAACTTAAAAAAAGGGAGATTGTAGATAGAGAAGTAGAAAACGAAAGAGATTAGATATTGTAGACAGAGAGAAGAACCATAATATAGCCTATTATATAGGATTGGAGCAGTGAAATAATATCAATAAGATAGAAAATGTAGTTTTGATAGATTAGTCGAGATTGATAGATTGACCGACAAACTGAAAGGAAGATTGATAGAGAAATCGAGGGATGGAAAAACAAACACGGGAAAAACAAACACGGGAAAAACAATGGAAACAATGAGATATAGAAAACACACAGAATTTGAGACAAATGAACAAATAGAATTCTTAAGCCACCAGTTCACCCAGACGTATTTCCAAGTCTCTGGAAATTCGTTTTCCCGAGCCTCCGTCAGTCCGGTACCGGCCTCTGAAAAATGAAACATGGTACCGGTACCGGCTTCAGGCTTCGTCGAGTAACTGGACCTGAACTCTGCGAAATAGGCTGTCACGGTTTTTTTTTTTTTTTTTTGGAAGTTTCATTTTGTAGTTTTTCCACAATGCTGGGGCCCCATTTCAACCCATTTGTGAACCCTCACCCCGATGTTGCGCGGGATTTTTCGTCACAAACAGCCGATGCCACTCGTTCATCTTCACATGGTGGCGGTAGTGGTTGGCTATGGCAGGTGTGTGGCCGCGGGGATGCACAAAGTGGAGGGGATGCCAGCCTGGCTGGCCACATGCCTGGCATAGCCCACCACACACACACACACACACACACACACACTATTGGTGGTCGCTGTAAACAAACCAGTGTCCTTGCTAGGAAAGGCGGTATGAGCACTCCCTCCTAGCAAGAGTCCTGGGTGCTCCAGTCTATTGGTGGGGAGCAGCACCTGCTTGAAAGCGGGTCCAGTGTCCCATTATACATCAGACGGCCTGCCAGCATTGATTGCCCTATTCCCAGGGGATAGAGCGCACGGGGTTAAATCACCAGTACCTTCTAAAAGTGCTCCTTGATAACGGCCAGCCAAGATTGGAAATCGCGCTGTTTCCAATTGGCTGAATCGGGCCAACCGGCCCAGGCCCGTTCATCACGAAAGCCATGCCCGTAAGCGGGGCACGTTTAGGAGGTACTGGTGGTTTAATGACGGATGTGTTGGACCACAGCGGTGGTTGCTACATTACTCTTGACATGTGCAAAACGAGAGTGAATCTTTCACTGAATCATGGAAACGTACACCGCCATGA